ATTCGACTCGTGGCCGGGCATCCAACTCTGTGCTGTTAGCGAGCCATTATTAAGGTCGAGAAACCAGCCCCGATTTGTACAGCACCCCCCCCCCCCCCAATGCGAGGCATGAGTGCTGCACGCGGCATGAACTGAACCGAGCAAAACTGTAGAACCCCATGCAGCCGAAGGGAATCCAGATTCCAGGCACTTCACAGAGCACGCCCGTATGCACGTATGCTGAACTTCTTTTGCACCGTACGTAGCCCAACTGCGCGAATCGGAGGTGCGGGAGGAAGACAAACGAAACACCAAAAGCAATTCTCAAGAAATGAGTTTTCAAGTCTCCACTTTGAAGTGCATAGCTCCAGTGGCTTCTTAATATTGTATCCAATTCGCGTCCGCCGTACGTTCGCCGCGTCACGAAAACAACGCGCGTTAGAACGGAGCCGCGCGTCGACGAGGATTGGGTAACAACCCACCGCTGTCAGCACGTGGAGGAGCGATTTGGTCGAGTTTGCTTTAAACGCTGGCGGTAATTATTGGCGCACGTGGCCGGGAAAAAAAGGAAGCTCTCATCCCGTCTGATTGCGACGACGATGATGGTGGTGGTGGTGCTACTGTGTTATTGATGAGCCCCTTGGTAATAGGAGGTCGTGACTTCTTTGCGATGGGTCATGTTGGTGGGGGGGGGGGGGGGTCATGGGATCGCCTCCCAACGGGTCACCCCTGGTCATGAATGGGGGGGGGGGCGGGCAGAGTTTGGGGTCACCAAGAGCTACAATGGATGAAAGCAAACAGCAGCGGCATCCCCGTCTATCCCGTCAGGCAAAGCGAATCCGGTTCGCGATCAGCTCATTAGAGCGACACCAAAAGGCCACCTTCGTGAACCCCGCTTGATTGCCCATAACAAAAAAAAACACACACAAACACTCTCTCTAGTTTATTTTCGTCTTACAATCCGTGGCGGTGGCGTAGGGAGATGCTTCATCCAGCAGTGGATTAATCGCGGCCCACGACGACGCAACGTATCTTAACGGAGTGCGCGATCACATTCGGCGAGGGCTCGCGGAGGCTGACCTTGGCTGACCCTGGCTGACCCTGGCTGACCTTGGCTGACCTGTGCTGACTCGCGGCGATGGTAGCGAGCGGCCCGCCTATGATCGAGCGCTTGGAGGTGAGAGGCACCTTCGACCGCACTTGACCGCGCTGCTCAGGACGAGTTGGTAGTTCGTGAGTCGCCACTCGCACAACAACAACAATAATGATGATGATGGACATTTATAAATCGGGAATCGAACTTTTTGTCGCGTCGGTCATGCATTGCGGGGGTTAGAGGATCGCGCGCAGATTTCGCGAAACTAACAAAAAAAGCGACGGGGAATAGCAAAGAACAAGTGGGCGGGTTCGTGGATCCATCTGTGCGGATCTTTGAAAGATGCCCCCCTCGTTTGCGAGGTGGAGCTCGCCTGTATCCCCCCCCCCCCCCGCCAAAAAACAAACAAAGACAAAGGTCCCCCGTATAGCCTGCAACAGACTGTTAGGGCAAGTGCTGTTAGCGAGCACCTCTGAAGGCCGGCACGGCACACGACGGGGTGGGTGGCACCACGCCCGGCCGCCTTTGTCTCCCCAGTGGCGATGATTACACACCGCACCAGGTACTCATTTGAGGCTGAGTCCACCTATAGGAGGCCCACAGCACCTGCTGAGTTATGAGACGTAGTCTACTCCGACATTTGTTTTCAAAATAGTGGTCGAAAAAGTGAATTTTATGATTGAGTACTGCTATATTATAGCCTGGCCTGGGAACGTCTGGGAATTTCCTTGGAAGAGCTAAAGTCTGTGTACAGTCGTGTAGTGTATAGTAGTGTATAGTGTATAGTCGTGTAGTGTATAGTGTAGTAGTGTATAGTAGTATATAGTAATGCAGTGAATAGTAGTGTATAGTGTAGTGTATAGTAGTGTAGTGTATACTCAACACGCTGCCGCCGCGACCCTCGCCAGGACAATCGGAGTGAGAAACGAATTATATGATGACTGTAGCGGCATCTAGTGGCTGCAGGAAGAGTCGCTGAAAGTCACGATATAAAACATGACGTTATATATATAAAAAAATCCACTGCTGGACGAAGACCCGCCTCCCTTCCCCCTCCTCCCACGTTCGCATCGACCGTGAGGGTTTGTTTGACCATACTTCACCACGCTGCTCAGTTTTAGGTCGGTGAATGCTTCAGATACCACTCGCCACTGATGTTAGCCGTGGCCGCGAATTGAACTCAGGTGGCCAAGTTCGCAGAGCACAGTGCGTGTTTAAGCACTGAGCCACCGCTCCGCTACTTTAATATAACACTGCCTTTCAAAGTAATATTACATTATAGGCGATGCTTTGGGCAATGGCCATTACTTCATATTATAGCACGTACAATTATTTTAATTTTCTTTCAAGGCAGTGCCATTGTGTTGTTACTGTGTGGAGTTGTTGTTTATTATGTGCGCCACTGCCAATGATAGTGTCACCAAATAGTCCCTCCGACTGATCATCATACAGTGCCTGATGCAGTGCCCTGGCGAGGTGAATTCATGAATGCAGGCGGTACTGATTTTCATGAAGTCTGGTTTATGATGCTGATGATGATGGTGGGCGTACGTGCAAACCCCTACATCAGGAATTGAACTCAGCCTCCGATCGTTCCACGGCCAAATATTTTGGGGGGTTCCCCCCCCCCACCAAGGAATCCCACACAGGAGGCCACGCTCTCATTTCCCACTCGAAATGATGGCCGCACAATCACCCAATGTACGTTGAACTTCTTTTGCACCGCACGTAGCCAGCCGTGTAAAGCAGGATCCTCTTTAAAACGAGTCCTTGAGGCTCTGCGAGACCATCCTGGGTAAGTGACAATGACATTGCCAATGCCACTCTCCCTAACTGTGCAGCTTTAACAAGTGCTGCAAGCGAGCACCTATCAAGGGGTGGACGAGAGGGGTGGGTGACCAGCACCACTCCCCGGCCGCCTTTGTCTCTCTCCCCCCCCCCCCCCCCAGTGCCGACGTTCGCACGCGGCACGAGTTACCCGTTTGCGACCGAGTCGACCTCGTGGAAGGCCCAGGACGTGTTCAATTAATTCGCCACCGTTATTGGGGTCGGGAGCGGGGATCGAACTCAGGTAGCCCGAGGTTCGGAGCGCAGCGAACTTACCGCCGCTCCTCCTGGCACAGCCGTCGTCCGCACGCTGTGGCGAGCGGTGGCGCAGCGGTTAGCACGCAACGAAGTCAAGCGGATCGACGCATCCGCTGATAATGCCGTTCGTAAACATCGGCACGGGGGTTGGGGGGGGGGGGGGAGACAAAGGCGGCCGCGCGAGCATCGATGAAAGCCATCGCGGCTCTGAATAGATGCTCGCCCGCAGCACTTGCCCCGACGGTTTGTGTCGGCTACGCGGGGAACTTTGGCTTTGTCTTTGTCGAGGCGGTCAATCCCCCAGTTGAGTCGTCTTCGTCGCCCTATAGCTCCCGTGTCTGCGCACATGCACAGTCAACGAGCCCTCCAGGTGCACCTAGCCTGGCACAAGCGCCGTGGTGACGTACCCGCCACTTGGAGTCTAACGTTGTCCATGTATCTCTGTGTGTGCGTGTGTCTGCATATGTCAATTTGTTTGTCTCTATGTATGCCTATGTGTGTGTATCTATATCTCTATGTATGTCTATGTGTCTATGTATGTCTATGCCTATGTGTCTCTATCTTTATGATTGCCTATGTGTCTCTATCTCTATGTATGTCTATGTGTCTCTATCTCTATGTATGTCTATGTGTGTGTGTCTATGTCTCTATGTATGTCTATGTGTCTGTATCTCTATGTATGTCTATGTGTGTCTGTATCTCTATGTATGTCTATGTGTCTGTGTCTATATCCCTATGCATGTATATGTGTCTCTATCTCTATGTACGCCTATGTGTCTGTGTCTATATTTCTATGTATGTCTATCTGTCTGTGTCTCTATGTATGTCTATCTGTGTCTCTATGTATGTCTATCTGTCTGTGTCTCTATGTATGTCTATGTGTGTGTCTCTATGTATGTCTATCTGTCTCTATGTATGTCTATGTGTGTGTGTCTATGTATGTCTATCTGTGTCTCTATGTATGTCTATGTGTGTGTCTCTATGTATGTCTATCTGTGTCTCTATGTATGTCTATGTGTGTCTCTATGTATGTCTATGTGTCTCTATGTATGTCTATGTGTGTCTCTATGTATGTCTATCTGTCTCTATCTATGTCTATGTGTGTGTCTCTATGCATGTCTATCTGTGTCTCTATGTATGTCTATGTGTGTGTCTCTATGTATGTCTATGTGTGTGTCTCTATGTATGTCTATCTGTCTCTATGTATGTCTATGTGTGTGTGTCTATATCTCATGATAATGTAGCGGTTAGCGCGCTGCGCTATGAACCTGGCGACCCGGGTTCGATTTCCGCTCACGGCCAACACCAGTGACGATTATCTGAACCGGTCCCGGGCCTCCCCTGGGTCGACTCAGCCTCAAATGAGTACCGGGTGCGGTGTGTAAACATTGCCACTAGGGAGACAAAGGCGGTCGGGCGTGGTGCTGGCCACCCACCCCCTGGTGTACCGTTACCGGCCTTCATAGGTGCTCGCTAACAGCACTTGCCCCTACAGTCTGTTAAGGCCATACGGGGGATCTTTGTCTTTTTGTCTCTATGTATGTCTATGTGTCTGTGTCTATATCTCTATGTATGTCTATGTGTTTGTGTCTATATCTCTATGTATGTCTATGTGTGTGCGTCTATATCTCTATGTATGTCTATGTGTGTGCGTCTATATCTCTATGTATGTCTATGTGTCTGTATCTCTATGTATGTCTATGTGTCTGTGTCTATATCTCTATGTATGTCTATGTGTGTGTGTGTCTCTATGTACGTCTATGTGTCTACGTCTATATCGCTATGTACGTCCGTGCGTGCCTGCGTACGCATGGGACTCGCCCGCTGATGAATATTCACATCACATCACAGCGCCCCGCGCAGAGCAAGCAGCCACACGGACACACAGAGCGGAGTCCGAGAGAGGCGCGTGGAAAGGAGCGGACACGAATCGAGAGACAGAGACACACACACACAGAGACAGACACACACAGACAGAGACGAGAGCGGAGAGCTCTCTCGCTCAGACAGCCAACGCAAGGCAGGACATACACGACAGACATCCAGCCAGACAGCGGTGTAGATCACGACACACACACACACGCTCTCTCTCGCGCACGCCTCCCACATGATATGAGCTCTCGCGGCGAGCAGTAAAAGGGAAATGTGCAAGGCAGCCGCCACGGTGTGTGTCTGAACGCCGAGACAGACGGTGGGAGAGGAGAGAGAGAGAGAGAAGAACAGGAGAGAGAGAGAGAGCAAAGACTACGAGAGATAGACGAGAGAGAGAGAGCGGCTGGAGAGGAGGAGGTGGAGGAGGAGAAGGAGGAGAGATCATTCAGAGGAAGAGGAGGAGAGAGTGAGCTATGGAAGAGAGCGTTGACAACCCCAACCGCGCCGTGGAGTTCCTCAAAGAGCTCAACAAGATCATCGAGACCCAGCAGGGCCTCATCGCCAAGCAGAGGCGACGCATCGAGGAGCTGGAGGGCCGAATCGCCGAGTTGATCCGGCGCAACGCGGCCATCAGCGAGCTCCACCAGAGGCACCTTTCGGCCTGCCCTCTCGCCCTCCGCCTGGGCCAGAGCGCGGCACGGCACGAGCAGCAGCAGCAGCCCTGCCTCCTGCCTCGGCGTCCCGCCACCTCCGGGACAACACTGCAGCAGCAGCAGCAGCAACAGCAGCAGCAGCTAAAACATCACTACCACAACGTCGGTGGCCATCACCACCACCAACACCACCAGCACCAACATCAGCACCAACAGCAACTGAGCACAGCAGCGCCCGGCAACACCTCGGGGTCTGTCGCGGATGACGAGGAGGCCCAACCGGTGATCGCGATGTGCAGCGTCTGTGATCAACATCTGCAGCAGCAGCAGCAGCAAGAGGCGGCTAAGTTGCCGAGCTGCTCGATATCGATGCACAACTACGTCGTGCGGAAAGTGCAGCTGGACGAGGAGGAGGAGGAGGAGGGTGGCGGTGGTGGTATTGAGGATGTGCATCATCATCAGCAGCAGCAGCAGCCTGGACGAGAGGAGAGCACAGGAGGTGGTGCTGCGTGCCCGTGTCCCGCCGAAGAGGAGAATCTATCCGTCTCCGCGCAGCAGCAGCATCAGCAGCAGGAGCCGCATCAGCAGCAGGAGCCGCATCATCATCAGCAGCAGCAGCCGCATCATCATCAGCAGCAGCAGCAGCATCAGCAGGAGCATCAGCAGGAGCAGATTCCGCCAGCTCTGCCGGAGACATCTGCCCTGACGAGGGTGGCGGCTCCGGACGGAGCTCAGCAACTGTGAGTGCCTCGGTCGCAGCCCCGGAGACTCGCCGGGTGAACTCGTTGCACCTCGGGTCACCTTTGACCGTGAACCCAACCCTGACGCTCATCGTGACGCTGCCCCTGATCCATAACCCTCGCCCGATTATCGAGCGCGACTCGGCAAACCGACCGGACCTCACCCGGACCCCGTGAACTTAAACCGCGGGTTTTACTCTGCGCATGAACTTGATCGCCAAACCCCATTGCTGTTAATCTCACCCTGACCCTAACATCACCACCCTGACCTTGGCCAGTAAGCACGGCCCCGAACCTAACTCTCATCTAGTAATGACCTGAAACTCACCAGGACGCTGCCCTTTCACCCTAACCATGACCCTAACCCTGACCATTACTCTATCCATGTCCCATAGCCTCTAAGCTGACCTTCGACTCCAACAACTCTTACCCCCCCCCCCCAACATCCCCCAATGAGAGTCCTCGTGCTCTGCTGTGCGCACTGTATATATTTGTTCGTACATGTATATACACGCGCGCCGTTCCTTTTGCAGGCGTATTAACAAACCTGCCGTCAACTCGTGCCCTTCACTAACTCGAGTCGCGTGCTGGCCAGCTGCGGCGTTCCGCGTGTGCCGACGAGCGACTTGTGGCCTCGCGAAATCCACCCTGGCGCCCGCTTCCCCCGTAGGTAGGGGTTGAGATTTGTCAGGCCTCGGGTAGGGTGGAGAGGGTGGGCATCTACGGAGTCGTCCCGTTCGAGTCGTCATTCCTTCGCAACCCAAACCCGCGAATGATTTCCTGATTCACCGTGAAACTCGACTCCGTCCGTCCGTTCTGTCTGTGTGTGCGGCCTTTAAGAGGAAAACAATACGTCATGGGCGACGTTTCGGGCTTTGGACCTTCCTCACGGCAGAATTTGAGCAGTACGGTGAGTCTGCTTTGTGAGCCTTCGTCGCTGGCAAACGCTGACCGCAAGTATAGTAGACATTCGAGCCAAATGCGTAAAAGACAACCCATTAGCACACAAACACACACACACGTCAATCTCGCAACCTCCGATGAGCGCGCTTGGCTGCGTACGGCGCGAAAGAAGTCCAGCATTGCATACAGTACACCCAGAATCGCGTTCAACAGAAAAGGGTCTTGCAGCGATGCTGTCAGCATTTTGTGCAGCGGTGCACAAATTGACACGCACTCGTCGCGCTCGTAGATTCGAACAAAAAAACAACAACTCTATCATTAGCAACGATCCTTCTTCACAGCAGTGAGAGAGAGCGATAGAGGTTGGTGGTCTCTGACGAATATGCCGAGTTTGTGGTATTGCACTGCCCGTTTTTATGAATGAACGTGTGTGTGTGTATATATACCGTATATGCTGACGGCTGCTGGCACACTTATTATGAACGCGCTCGCGTGACAACAAGGTTGGGCCTCTCTTGCTTGAACAAGCGAAGCGATCTCAAGGGGTGTGACAGCGGGGGGCGGTGTGGCGCGGCCTCGCGTTCGAGCTGTCGTCGCTTGCTGCAGACATTTCGCGGTTCGAATCAAACAGGCCGCCCCCGATTAATACAGCGCTGCGGTGTGCGCGCGCGCGTACAAAGCCTTGAATCGCTACAGCCGCTAGACACGGGTCCGCTTGCTTCTGCGCAGTGGAAATGAAAGATCCCGTGATGTGATCCACAAGAGAAGCCAATTTTTTGCGCGACCAGCGTCACGGTCTAAAGTTAGCCCGACTTTAAGTGTTTTTTTTCTTCTTCTCAAATGGAATTTGCACGGAGCAGCAATCATCGCTGCTAAAGCTCGGCAGGGCACCTCTCGCAATGAGAGTCTTGAGGCTCGGCGATGCCTCCAATGGGTTATCCGGCTCGTGCTACAAGTTCCCACGTGGTGAAAGCGCCACTTCGTTGAGATCAACATTTGTCGCTTCTTACAACAACAAAAAAAGCTCCGTAGCTCAGTGGGCCTTGCCTCCTAAAAATAAAAAAAATAAAATAGTTTGTTAGTTAGTCAATAAAATAGATTCCGGAGGATTTTGGGGAAAAACAACATTTTTTTTTCAAGGTAAAGGAGGGGCCCCGGAATTGTTTGCCCGTGCCACTGCTGACTGAAGGGACTTCCTCCACTCATGATACTGAGCGAGGCTCTGCTGAGTACACACAGTGTAATAAACGCGACGGTGTATAATGCGTCACGGTGGACGAGATGTTAACTCCCTCGACTGGTATGCAGGAGGTCGTGGGTTCGATCCCGAACCTGACGATGCCTTTATATTCGGAGTTTGCGCGTCTCTCTCTCTCTCTCCCCGTGGTCGCGTGGAATTTTTTTCTCCAGGTCCTACGGGTTTTCCCCCTCCACATTTAGAATCAACATCACGCGTTCGGAAGTCTTTGGCTGCTGTAAATGTCCACGTGAGAAGCCGCCGACTTCGCTGGGCGACCGCTTGGGACAGCACAGGTGGCATCTGACAAAGAGCTATGCGCAGCTCGGTAGGGGACCTTACCTGGTGAAATAACGAATCGTTTAGTTTCAGTTCAGTTTGCAAGCCACGCCGTCGAGATTGTCATCGCTGTCGCCGCCCGTGTGAAATCCTCTTGTTGCGGGGCAACGTACGAGGTCACCGGCCAGTTTGAGTGGCCGTCTGTCCAGCCGTGAATGAACATTCCCGGTATCACCCCTCCCCTCCCCTCCCCCTACACCTTGGTTCACGAATGCGCCGGCGAATCGGACGCTTGTTCAACTGCCTCGAATGGGCCAGGGAGCGGGACAGGGATGGGGGGGGATGTATCGTTGAGAGGCGGTCACGTGATGAGCGTGGGGCCAGGCGGGGGGGTGCCTTGCCCCCTCTCCCACCAACCCCCACCACCCCTCCCCCCTGGTGGCCAACATCTACGAGTTGGGCCCCCCTTGGCGGCCACCGTGAGATTTGTTTTCAAGAGTGTTGGGCCCCTTCCCCACTCCCCCCGAACTGATGATGGAGTTGAGATGGGTGGGGAAGGGTTAAGAGGGTGTCCAATACAGATGGTAACTCAATATTGGTGTGCAGTACTGATGGTAAATCATCATTGGTGTCCAGTACTGATGGGAACTCAACATTGGTGTCCAGTACAGATGGTAACTCATTATTGGTGTCCAGTACAGATGGTAACTCAACATTGGTGTCCAGTACAGATGGTAACTCATTATTGGTGTCCAGTACAGATGGTAACTCAACATTGGTGTGCAGTACAGAGAGTAACTCAACATTGGTGTCCAGTACTGATGGTAAATCATCATTGGTGTCCAGTACAGATGGTAACTCAACATTGGTGTGCAGTACAGAGAGTAAATCATCATTGGTGTCCAGTATAGATGGTAAATCATCATTGGTGTGCAGTACTGATGGTACATCATCATTGGTGTCCAGTACTGATGGTTACTCAACATTGGTGTGCAGTATTGATGGTAAATCATCATTGGTGTGCAGTACTGATGGTACATCAACATTGGTGTCCAGTACTGATGGTAACTCATCATTGGTGTCCAGTACTGATGGTAACTCAACATTGGTGTGCAGTACAGAGAGTAAATCATCATTGGTGTCCAGTATAGATGGTAAATCATCATTGGTGTGCAGTACTGATGGTACATCATCATTGGTGTCCAGTACTGATGGTAACTCAACATTGGTGTCCAGTACTGATGGTAACTCAACATTGGTGTCCAGTACTGATGGTAACTCAACATTGGTGTCCAGTACTGATGGTAACTCAACATTGGTGTCCAGTACTGATGGTAACTCAACATTGGTGTGCAGTACTGATGGTACATCATCATTGGTGTCCAGTACTGATGGTAACTCAACATTGGTGTCCAGTACTGATGGTAACTCAACATTGGTGTCCAGTACTGATGGTAACTCAACATTGGTGTCCAGTACTGATGGTAACTCAACATTGGTGTCCAGTACTGATGGTAACTCAACATTGGTGTCCAGTACTGATGGTAACTCAACATTGGTGTCCAGTACTGATGGTAACTCAACATTGGTGTCCAGTACTGATGGTAACTCAACATTGGTGTCCAGTACTGATGGTAACTCAACATTGGTGTCCAGTACTGATGGTAACTCAACATTGGTGTGCAGTACAGAGAGTAAATCATCATTGGTGCCCAGTATAGATGGTAAATCATCATTGGTGTGCAGTACTGATGGTAACTCAACATTGGTGTCCAGTACTGATGGTAACTCAACATTGGTGTCCAGTACTGATGGTAACTCAACATTGGTGTCCAGTACTGATGGTAAATCATCATTGGTGTCCAGTACAGATGGTAACTCAACATTGGTGTCCAGTACTGATGGTAACTCAACATTGGTGTCCAGTACTGATGGTAACTCAACATTGGTGTCCAGTACTGATGGTAACTCAACATTGGTGTCCAGCACTTGGGGAGACCAAGGAGGTGAGGAGTGGTGTTTGGCCACCCACCGTGCCAGCCATAATAGGTGCTCGCTAACAGCACTCTCCCGAACAACCTGATCGGGCTACCGAGGGGAACTGTGTCTCGGTGTGGTGGGTTCACGTCGTAATAACATAACACTCCGAGTTAACACGAACGTCATCACTTCTGCGAAAAATTCTTTTTTTTTTAAAGCACGCTCTTTAATCTTGGTAATTTGTTCTCGGGAAGAATCTTTCAACGTGGATATTTTCCGTGTGTACAGTTTTTCAAGACACGCTGCACTTTCTATTTTCTTTCCTTTTCAACAGCCTACCATTACGGCAATACATTACGCAACTGAAAAGGCTGTCACAATGCTATCGTTGCTGAATCGTTGCTGATGGGTAGGAACAATGTTCAGACTGCATTGCATTGACAGGCCCGTCTTTCTTCCAGTTCATCACCTTAAATAATACAAGGTCAGCCGTTATCGTTACCTTGCTTGTCCTGGCTCACTCAAAGAGCCTAAAAAAACGCCAGGAAAATTGACCTAATATGCTTATGGATGTTTTAAGGGCCACACTCACTTAGGTGCC